GTCTCCTCTGGGACTGGAGAGTCCCTGCAGGGTTGGCTTCTCACCTGCCCTGGTCACTATTGCTCCCTGGTGTCCAGCCTCTGTATAGTAGGTAAACATTTACTGAAATAAGCAAATAAATAATGCTGTATAACTGTAATAAAGCTAGTAAATAATTAAAACTACAGCACAAGAATTTCCATCCTCACTATAGCAATAAAATGCTTCAGGCCGGCAGAGGTAGTTAGAGATGCTGGCAAGGGACCCTCAGGAGGACTTCAAGAATAGAGAGGTGTGGGCTGGGGACTGTCTGGGATTCGCTTGATGAAATGTGCACGTGACTTTTCCAAGAGAAACACTACATTTGGAAGTGAGTTGCAAGCCAGAGACTTAGGGAATAAGGAATAAATGGGAAGTGGATAACTGAGCCTGCGCTGGACAACGGGGTCACAAATCCTTGAATTCACCCTTCCTTAGGAGTGAGGCAGGTTCCTTCCGTGTTCCCCATTGGGTATGGCTACTCTGTTAAAATGTTTTTCTACTCATGTAACAAAAATGTCTTCATTTCTGAATCAGTGTTTAGTATTTTCAAGTTACTATAAAAACAAACGTATAACTGCAAGTCAAGGCTGTTCCTAGACAAAGTTGCTACATTAAAAAACTTCCTGAAGTATCGCCTCTTCGCCTCCTGGCCAGGTTAAACCGTTCTGTCAGTTCTGCACTGTTTGTTCATCCAGCTGGGGTCCGTCAGTTCATTTTCCCTTTTCTCATTCCCTCACTTGCAGCCAAAGATCTTATTTCCTCATGGATGCTAAGGTGCCGGACAGTGCATCTTATAGAAAGTTACACAGAGAAAATAGAGCATGCTGGCTCCGTCTCCTGCCTTTCCTCTCTCTCAGGGAAGCCTTGCAGGCAGTGGAGAGCAGAATGCTGCCTACTGCTCTGTTTTAAACCAGACACCTTGAAGGTCCATCTGCCCTTCACGTTACATGTGCAACGTGTTATCTAAGATAGTCTGATAAACAACTTTAAAATAGTAAGTGCGATTTTTCTCTCCTCTTCCACTTAAAGTTACCTTCCCCTTTGCCAGAAAGTTGACATTAGAAATGCTATCACATCCACAGATAGTATAAACCTAAAAATTATATAGTCTCAGTCTCACAGTGGCTGCCGAGACTCTGATATTTGCCTTGCTACCACCTGTAGGTCATTTTCCCAAGACCTCTGGAGCTAAATATACTTTGGTTGCCAGTGGCTGTTAATGGGAACTGGGCTTATTTTCCCCTCGCAGTGGAAAGAAATGTGATGAAGCTAGAATTAGGACCAATAAATTGGGACTTGGTGGACACCCCCCTCTCCAATACCCTCCCCAGCATGGCCCAGGAATGTGATGGTGGAGGCTTAGGGTGTCATCTGTGAGAGTCACTTGGGGAGAAGGTGAAATAGGGCTGAAAAGTTACAAAGGGTGCTGAGACTGGAGAGGTTACAGGAGAATTCTAGAATCACCATTTTACTGAAAGGTTTCTTAGTTCTTAAAATAGGTCTATTTAAATAAATAGGAAATATAAATTGTTTCCAGGATAAATAGCAACCAGAAAGACACAGATACCCTGGTTTTATATTTTATAAGATAATGTAATGTCATTTTTTTGGGTTTTAAATTTAGACTAGAACATTATGATGTACACCTGCTTGGGTAATTCACAACATGGTCTGAGGCAGACACCTCCAGAGAGGTTACATTTTTAGATGAGGTGTTAACAGTCCTCAGCAGAGTCAAGTATCTTGGCGGTTGGAGTCCATATGATCTTAGGTTTTAATGATTCGGTAAGGCAGGGCCTAACCCAGTTTTGCAAGGTTATTTTCCCATGTTTTATAGTGGGTTCATTTTCTAGACAGGACCTAATACTGATGAGCTAATAGTAAAAATTATGTATTTGTTTATCAGTTACTTCAGTTAATCCTTATACTTAGATATTTTAAGAGAGAGAAGAGTAATGTGTCTGAACATAACTTCTGCATGGCACTGGTGTTTTCTAAAGTTTTGTGAGATTTGGACTTATGGAATGAAAACGTGTGTGTGTGTGTGTGTGTGTGCGCACGCACACGTGTGCTCATGTGTGTGTGCATGTAATTCAAATCATGTTTTTGTAATTATGTCTTCTCCATATTGGCTACAGAAATTGCCTACATCTGATTACATGTAGTCTGAGTAGATATTTGAGGAAGAAAATTGCCTATGTGGAAAGCTGAAAGGTGTAGAATTTTTTTTTTTTGGAAAGTTTTATGCAGTGGTTCCTTCAGGGTAAAGCATTATTTGAGACAAATATGTTTTACATATCAAATTAGTAATAGGCAAACGAACTTCATAGGTACATAAATATAAATGAGATATTTTTAGTGTACTGGATTGATACCTGCCCTTACAGCCAGGCCTTTAAAAATTTTTAACCATTCAATGGAGTACTACTCAGCCATAAAAAAATGAGAAAGTAGAGTCATTCATAGGAAAATGGATACATATTGAGGCCATACTCTTAAGTGAAATAAAAAGGGCACACGTGTACATACTGAATGGTTTTTCTAGTATGAAAAACTAAAAGTGTAAATAGGATCCAAATGGTATAACTCATAATGTGAAATAGGAAGAAAAGGGCTAAAGTTGTAGGGGAAGTGGAAAGGATGGGGGAAGGGAAATAAAGGAAAAGAAAAAATATGAGAAAATGGAAAAAAGTCTTTGTAAATAGGAGAGGGGAGAGGAGGTGAAAGGAGGGCAGGGATATGGGGAAAAAAATAAGACCCAACATCTGTTATGTAAAGGTACAAGATCCCAGTGATGAATGTAACTGTACTGTATGCCTAAAATGTACCAATAAACTCAGTGGGAAAAAAAAATTTTAACCATTCAATTGTGAACCCTCCAAAAAGAAACTTGTGTCTCCTTGCACCTTCCTTTCCATACAGCCCCCACACCAATTTAGATAAAAGAATCGGTCACGACCAATGTCGTTGAGTCCCCCAGCTTTTCCCACAGGTGCAAACCTTCGTAGAACTCCTTCAGGCTTCCTGGCACAGCACTGTCCACGGCCTGTCCCTCCTCACACAAACACTCTTCCTTACATTTTCGCCTCACTGCTCGTCCCAGTCTTCCTGGAGAATTTTCTTCATTTAAATTGAGATTTCAAAAGTGTTTTTGCAGTCACACTGATGGTATGAAAATACTGGTAATCTTAGATTAACTAAAATAAAAACTGACCACTTTTAAAGTATAACCAAACAAGGCCAGGGATTTAGCTCAGTGGTTCTGCCACCTCCCTCTCCGGTGCAAGGTCCTGAGTTTGATCCCTGGTACCTAAACAACAACAACAACAACAACAACAAAATATAACTGAACAAAATAAAAGACTAATGCAGTTGCCATCATTCATGGGTTTAAATGTACTGAAAAATCCCTTTTGAAATCTTAGAAAGATCGCTATACCCTTACCTAAATCAATGAAGAAGAAAACAGCACTTAAAATTATGTCTGCTTTTGTGTTATTCTTTTTTGTGTGTGTGTCAGCTGACTATAATATGGTATTTCTATTATTTTGTATTTCAGATGCTCTACATTTCAAGTTTATCAAAGATTAAATTGATGTTTATGGGCTAATCTAGAAACCAAAAAAAAAAAGAAACAATTTGTTTCAGTACATCTATAAGAAAATATATCTGAATTCCCACTGGCTGTCTTATAAAGGAGCACAACCCAATGTAAGTTGTAGAAATACTGTTCTTGTCTTTATTATCACCCTGTTGTGGTAAATGTTTGCATATGTAGAGATGTGTGAAGATTGCATATACATTTGTATCTACACATATACTATACTTTTTCACAATACTGGGTTTGCGTAACATCTATTCTTTCTCTCCTGCAACAGATATTTAAATGTCTCTTATATAAAAGGTAGAGTAGTAGGCCTAAGAAATATCCTAAGATGAGGTTGCTGCCCTTACGGAGCTTATGCTTTAATGAGGAAACAACCAGAAACCAAATAATTGCACATATGAAATGCGCACTGTGATGGATTCTGTGCTGTATAGTCACCTGGCCTATAACCAGGCCTATCTTGTCTCCAGGGTCAGAGTGGGTCCCTTGGAGAGGTGTCTTAGTTATTTTTCTTGTTGCTTCATTATTTTTCTTAGTTGTCTTTACAATACTCAGCACCCATAAGTAAATAGGAGGAGAGTTTTATTTTAGCTCACAGTTTGTAAAGGGTTCAGTCCATAGTTGACTGGCTCTACAGCAGGGTGGCATGGCAGAGGGGCATCACAGAGGAGAAACAGTTCATGGCATGGCAGGCAGAAGGCAGCAAGCAGCAGCAGGCCAGCCTTCTTTCTATCCTGTTATATTCCATCTAGGCTGAAAGCCTATTGATTAGTGTCACCCGTACCCAAGATTGTGGTTCCATTATCTATACTTAGAAATATGCTAATTCCAATCAGTGGACTAATTTAGTACTATACACTCTTAATCTCAGTATCACACACTCTAGATCCAGCCAGTTCTGAAAAGCCACACCTATGAGGACATGAGACTTCACGGTCTTGGAAAGAGAATGGACTTCTGCATTAGTGACTCTAGGTTTGACCTTGATTCTCGGTGTCCTTGACCGGAGTGCTTTTCCTGCAAGATGACTTCCTGAGGTTCTGGGAGAGGCTCTGGGAGAGGTTCTAGGCATATGCTTTTTAAACTATGCAAAAAAAATTTTTGTCTCTGTTAAAAAAATTGATCGTAGCCAGGCGTGGTGGCACATGCCTGTAATCCCAGCACTTAGGAGGCTGAGGCAGGAGGATCGCTGTGAGTTCCAGACCAGCCTGGGCTACATAGTGAGTTCCAGGGCAGTCTCAATTACATAGTGAGACCCTGTCTCAAAAAAAAAAAACAAAAATAATAATAATTGTAATCATACTAGAAAATAAGAAAGTATGTAAAATTTACAAGCACTTGTACATTTTTTGGTTTTGTTTTCTAGGTACAAAGTACTCCTTAAGCCCTAACAACCACCTTGAAGATGGAAGTATGAATATGGAAACTTTTCTACGGGGCTTTGAAGAAAAGGGGATAAAGAACGAGAGGCCTGAAGACCAGTTAAGTAAAGAGAAAAAGAAAATTCTGTTCTCTTTTTGCGAAGTGTGCAACATCCAACTGAACTCTGCAGCACAGGCCCAGGTCCATTACAATGGCAAATCCCACCGCAAAAGAGTCAAGCAGCTGAGCGATGGGCAACCCCTGCCCGCAGCCCAGGGCTCGGGGCCACTGCTGGCCAGCCCCGGCAGCAATACCAGCACAGGTAGGAAGGGGGTCCCAGGCCTCCCTGTACTTCTGGAGAAATGATTAAAGTGAAACATTACAGCAAGACATCTTTCAATTGAAACTGCCATCACATTGTGTACTATTTCTCCTACAGGTAAAGCCTACTAGCTCTTGGTTCCATCTCAGAATATAACACACACACACACACACACACACACACACACACACACACATGCGCGCACATACAAACACACACACATACACAGAGACATACACACACGTACTGTCTGAACTTTTCTTAATGTATTTTGAAATGTATTTAAAATAGATCAGTGACGTCAAAATTTCTTCTCTCTGTCAAATTAGACTTTCGTGGATTTTCCTTATCTGCTTCATTTGGGTGGTGTGCAACTTGATAGTGCGTAAAGCGCTACAGCTTTATTTAGAACTCCCACGATGCAGAAAGGGGGCCTTCCCCTTCCCCTTCGCCCGCCGTGCTCCCTGAGAGGGTTGCCGGCAGTGTGCTGAAGCATCCGGACAGTAGGCGAGCGCTGCCCACACCCGTAGGGGTGCTCTGATCTTCTGCCAATCTTTTTTATTTCCTTCACATGTTTCTCTCACTCTTTTCTTGTGAGCTTGATGGAAACAAAGGCTTAGGGATTTTATATTCCTGCATCTGCTCGGAATTTTAAACAATCTTTCTAGTCTTTCTTATCCTTGGGCGGCCCTTTCTCCTCCATGTTGCTGGTCACTGATGGCCTCCTTCTGACAGAACTCACAGAAACATTGTTAGCCACAGTGAAGACTTCTGGGGAAGGCAGACCATCTACTGGTGGGAGGCCAGGCGAAGCCTCCTGCTAGCCGTGATGGAAGAGCTCCAAGGTCCACCCGACCAAGTGTTTGCTCTGATGGCATCTTAACGTGCAAGGACGCAGCGAAGCCATTTGTCAGAATTTCACTCAGTGCTGCTGCTTGATTTCATAAAACTGTCCCACAGTCCATATCAAGTACCGATGAACAGTACTACTTTTCATCTAGTATATGATTTAACTTCATTACATTATTTCCCCCTATTAATACTTACCCTGATGTGAAAGAATGGAAAGGAACTTACAGGACATAGCATATATGATCACACTAGTAAAAAATTAATTTTTATTTTCTATTTGTTATTATGATTTACTTATTCACAGATGCATTAATATACTTGTTACTTATGCCTTAAGAATTTGGCATTACGTTGAAAACTGATGCCTACACCAGACAGAAAATAGCCCGAGTAGAGGTGTGAATTGCATGTGAGATCAAGAGCCCATAAACACCATAGTCATTTTTAAAAATCATCTTCCTGAAGAGCACCTAATGACGGAGGAAATTGTCTCTGATAACCTGCCAGGCAGAACAGCAGTGCCTGAAGCGGATCACATTGCACTTCTGGGATGCGTGCACATGGCCTTCTCTCCTGTTTTGGGTCTTGGCTCAATGAGGATCAAGCCTGACATCATTTAATTTTTTTTTCCACTTTGCTCAGTTTTGATGTATGACACTTCTGTCTCCTGTTGAGTTCCGACCCATAACATCTCACTTTTGTGTATTCAGGACTCTTTGATGTAGAAGACTCAGTTCTGTTTGTGAAACATCCATCTCATTGCCAGTTGAAGACATGGTTGCATGGACCCTAGGACTCAGTGTGGAGGGCCGGGTCCCTTTGCCTCTTCTCGACTTGACACTCAGCCCTGGAGCTGGGGAAGTGCACAGGGATGGATGGGGACTTTTGCCCTGCTTATAGCCTTAACAAGTTATAGTGCTTTTCTTGGTTGGGGATTGCTATTCTGCCTGTTTCTGTGGGTCTCGGTGGTCCCTTAGGCATTGAGGGTCCCTTGTGAGACAGCGACATCTTTGAGCTCACCCCTGGCTGGTAGGAAAATCTATGCCTTATCTCTGTGTGCCTCTTTCTCCCACACTGTGGTAGCCTTGGCAAGATTGTGTCCTGTCTTCTCATATGCACAACTTCTAGGGCTTCAGGGCACATTCAGAATCCATTTAAAAAACTCTCAGGGCTCAGGAAGGTAGGGGTAGAGGTGGATGCCAGGGACATCTCTTCCCAGCTCAGATGGCACAAGGGAAGCTGTCAGGTCCTGATTATGGAACAAAGTTACAGTCGCCTTTTCTTTCCCATCACTTGGCTTTAGATAATATTATGGATTGAACTGCATCTCCCTCATAAAAAAAGCTATGTTGCAGTCTGACCTCCCAGTGCCTCAGAATGTGAACCTGTTTGGAGATAGGGCCTTTACAGAAGTAGTTCAGTTAATATAAAATCATTAGCTGGGGATTTAGCTCAGTGGTTCCACCTCCTGCCTCGCAAGCGCAAGGACCCGAGTTTGATTCCCGGTACCAAAAGCAAAAACAACAACAATAAAATAAAATCATTAGAGTTGTTTGTAATCCACAGTAATCGATGACTTTATCAACAGTAGTGGTGATATTTTACCGTATAAGTAAACTGAAGCAGTAACTTCCTCTTTCCTCTTCAGTCTTTGTAAATGTTATCATTAATGGGAGTGGGAAGGAGATCCAGAGAGGTTTTGCGGGAGGTTTCTAGCAATCATTTGAAGAAGAACTAAAATCAATTTTATGCAGTCTCTTCCAGAAAACAAAGGAAGAAGAAACACTCACTTATTTTATAAGGCCAGTATTACCTAAAGCAAAAAAAAAAAAAAAAAAAAAAAAAAAAAAAAGGACAGTGTGTCTTACAAATAAATACATACCCAACAAAAGACTAATATTAAAAATATTTTTCAGTCCCTGGTACAAAAAAAAAATATATATATATATAATTCTCAAATCAACACTAAAGCCGGGCATGGCGGTGTGTGCCTGTGATCCTAGCAGTTGGGAGGCTGAAGCAGGAGAATTGCTGTGAGTTCAAGGCCAGCCTGAACTACATAGTGAGACCTTCTCTCACAACAAAACAAAACAGAACAACCCAGTTTTTCCAGCACCATTATTAAAGAGGCTATCTTTCTTCCAGTGAGGGTGTTTTGTTCCTTTATTGAAAATGAGGTGGCTGGGTGTGTCTGGAGTTGTGTTTGCATCTTCTAATCTGTTCCACTGGTCCTTAGATCTGTTTCTTTGCCATTACTGTGCTGTTTTTAATCACAGTAGCTTTGTAATATAGTTTCAAGTTGGGGTTTGTGATGCCCCCTACCTTGTCTTTGTTTCCTAGAATTGCTTATATCACTGGTCGTTGGAGACATGCAAATGAAAACAATGCTGAGATTCCACCTCATCCCCAAAAGAATGGCTGCTATCATGAAATCAACTAATAACAAATGCTGGCGGGGCTGTGGGGAAAAAGGAACCCTACTCCACTGTTGGTGGGAGCGCAGACTGTGCGAGCACTGTGGAAATTAGTATGAGATTCCTCAAAAAGCTAGGACTAGAGGTCTCATTTGACCCAGCTATTCCCCTGCTGGGTATCTTCCCCAAAGAATTAAAAGAATCACGCCACAACAGTATATGTGCACCATGTTCATAGCAGCCCAGTTTGTAATAGCTAAAACATAAGCCCAGTTGCCCATCACTGGAAACTGGCTAAAGAAAATGTGTATGTGTGTGTTTTATAAAATGGAGTACTATTCAGCCATAAAAAATGAGAAATTAGACATAGCTAAATGGATGCACATTACGGTGATGCTATTTTTTTTTTTTTTGGTACCAGGGATGGAACTCAGGTTCTTGCTCTTGGGAGGCAGGTGGCAGAACCACTGAGGTAATCCCCAGCCCAAGGGTGATACTATTAAGTGAAATAAATAGGACACATGTGTAAATACGAAATAGTTTCTCTGATGTGAGAAACTAAAAGTATAAATAAGGACCAAATGGTATAATAGATAATGTGAAATAGGAAGAAAAGGTGCAAAGGGGAAGGGGAAGTGGGAGGGGTAGGGGAAGGAAAGGGGGTTGGACTTAACATTAGAAAAAAATGAAAACAAAGACTTTGTAAATAGGGAAGGGAGGAGGGGTTGAGGGCAGGATATGGGGGAAAATAAGATATGTAAAGGTACAAATCTCCAATGATGCATGTCATATTGTATACCTAAAATATACCAATAAAATTTAAAAATAAACAGATAAACACTAAACAAAAAGCAAAAAGAGAAAAAACAAACTCAAGAGTAAACAGATAATGCAACTAAAATGAGCGAAAGGTAAGAATGTTATTGAAGAGGACAGACAGATGATAAATCAGTGCAGGAAAAGATGTCGAACATCACCAGCATCAGGGAAATGAAATTACAATGAGATTTCACTGTCCACCTGAATGCTAAATAAAAGACAGTAACAGTAACCAAGCGCAGGGGAGGATTGGGAGACATCCTGTCCTCAGACGTGGCTGCTATCTCAGTGTCCCCAAGCCTCAGGCACTACAAGCCGGGCTTTGGGAGAGACTTGGAGAGCACCGCTCTAACCATCCCGGGAGGATCTTGTACCTGGAAGAGGAGCCCCTCCTCTTAAATACTTAGGTAACTGGGAGGTGGTTAGGGGGAGGGAGAGACAGAGGGCTTCCTGGGCTCCTCTGACTTCTGCGCGTCCACTGGCCCGGGAAAGAGGAGGATGGCGGTGTCATGGGCCTGGGGTGACCCTGGAACTCCACCAAACAAGATCAACTCAAGAGTTTTATAAATCACTGGCCTTTTCATACTACTGTAAAAACAGGGAAGGCCGATAGAAAAGCTGTGGTCTGGCAGATGAATAAGCCCTTTTCCTGTGCCAGATGTAGTGCCGAGGAGGCTAGTGCAGAGTTCTGGCAGATTTATGCGGAAGGGGCCACGACTGTTACACGCAGGTGAGTAAGGAATGAGCAGGTTGGCTTCCTGGCTGCTGGGAGAGGCTGGGATCTGGTGCTGTGCTGTCTCTGGGGCTGCTCCCTCCCATGGCCTTCTTGCCTTCCTTCTATGGTCATAGATTAGGCGGGGCTGATACTGCCTACTTTGTGCTTAGAAGTGACTGTTCCATCAGAGGCCTCGTAGA